AAAAAATACACTTTTTGAAAACTGAACTGATTGCGGTCTATTAGCTTTTGCAGTGTTGTTTTTTTTGGTGATGCTTATTTCATTGCTAACTGCTATTGGCGTATTGTTTTGTAGGGTTTGACTGAGCTATTTTCTTTCTATGAGTATTATTTGTCAGAGGTGACTCTATCTGCACCCATCTTTATTTAAAAGTGTCAAAGCTGCTACAATCTTTCTCTAACCCTAAGTAAAAAAACAATTCAACATTATCTTTATTGATTTTATAACATAATAGCCCTAAGCTGAATAATGCAACAATGTACAAATATATACATAGATGCCTGATCAGCCCATCCCTTCATCCCTCCCTTCACCATCCACCCCTCACATTTCAAACATCCCTCGTACACCCACCCACACCTTCAGGTCTGACCACTTATTTACAAGAATATAACCTATTCAAAAAAAAAAAGAGAGAGTTGCAGGGGTGAGATAGAATAAAAAACAATAATAACAAAAACAACAATAAAACAAAAACAACCATGTCTGACACATGATTAAATGTAATCTTTATATAAATATAAAAGGAGTACTATGTTTTATTATTAAATTAAAACCATCCCAAATCTTTCTTAAATTTCACAAAGCTACCCTTCAGTTATACATTATCTTTTCATTGGGTATGCTTAATTCATTAGTCCATTTAGCCAATGTAGGTGGTTGTTCATCTTTCCAATGCATGGCTTTACATTTGTTGGCTGTGAATATAATAAAGTTGAGTTGGTTTTTATATACTTTTATTACAGATGTGTTGCCCAGTAGGGTTACCCTTGGTTCTGTGGGTCTGATTATCCCTGTGATGTCTTTTTGAGTATAGAGGTCCAATATAAATGTAGACATGAGTAGGCCCAGATCATGTATCAGTGTTCTTATTCCACTTATATTTGTTGGGCAGAACTGGGAATACTGAGGTTTTATTCTGCGCAGCCTGTCAGGGGTATAGTATATTCTATGAATGAGACTGTGTGATTTTATGTCTCGTGTTAAGTGCTTCCATTTTTTACTTTGTCAAAATTACACTCAAGGTCTTGGTCCCATTTGCGTTTCTCTCAGGGTTACAGCCTTGTGATGTACATAAAGACTGATCGTACCTCAGCAAAGCCTCATTAATCTCACTGGGATTACTGGGAAACGTGTCATCCTTTTGGATTGTACATATTGTATATATTGCCATATTTGTCTCCTTCTTAATCTGCCAAGGTAAAAGTTTCCCTGCCTAATCTCCTTATTCGTAATATCTGCTTCATTTGTTTTATTGCATTTTCTGTCTTGTGTGTATTAAGCATATTATATATTCTAACTGTCTTGTTTTAAGTCGTTGGAGAATAATACTGTCTTGCAAGTGTATATGTTGTGTTTTTTAACAAAACTAGAAACATCTCCCGTTGCCAAGTCGTATCTATGGTTTGTCCTATTTACTGGAGTAGTGAACATTTCCATTGCATTAGAACATTATGGGGTGGTAACGATTCTTCCAGGTATTAGGAGGGACCTCAGGTGTTACCATGGAAACAGAGTTATGGCTTTTGAAAAACTTTACAAGTCTTTGTCTTTTGATTGCAAAATGCAAGAAAATATAAAATAATTATGATTTCTCTTCCTTTGGCAAGTGACCATGCTATAAGTGGGATAAAACCTGACAAGGTGTCCACCTCGTCGGGCTTTATCCCTTACATATATGGCCTACAACAAATGAAATGACAGTCTTACTCATAAACAGAATAGATTCCTAGATATAGATATTTTAGGTACACAAATTGATATTTGTAATAAAAGGAAGTAAACCTCTGTTGGACCCTGGACTCTAACCTCTTTCTCCCAAACTAAAGAGATACCCCCGAGAACTAACTGGAATCTGTAGTATTGTAGTGGCATTAACTTATATATCTATATTATATAGCTAGCTCAGCTCTGTTATTAGAATTTTAAATGTAACCTTCTAAAGACTTAATTGTTGCAAATTGTTAATATTCAATGTATCAGTAAAATTTCCACTGACATGGTAATTCATTCATTTTCCTACAATAGCTGCTCTTGCAATACAGTATCTACTCGTAT